CCACAGACCACCTAGACTGGCCGTATCTAATTCCAATGCACGGGTACCAGTGAATGCAAAATCCGGGGAAGTGGAGTGTGGAAGGCAATCTGATCGCGCGCATCTTTAAGCAGATACGGATTAAGTAATATTTTTATTACATATTAAACATTATATTGCATCTTATGACAAATATTCAATTTTAAGTTTGTAATTCAGAAAATAGTATATGTTAGTGTCATATTAAATAAAACTACAAAATAATTTAAATATATTTATTGTCCTCTAAGTAACATTAATTTATTTAATATTTGCCTTTTCGTAGATTTTACCGAATTAAATAATTTGACTTAATGATTTATTCGTAGATCGATATACTTTTCACATTCAGCCCTTACAAGTTCTATTAAATGATTACAATTGTTAGGCAAATTATCAAATTGATGTTCATGCAAATTTTCAAATATGTTCACATTCAGAAAGATTTTTAATACATGATAAACAATTTTATTTTTCTGTAGCCTAGGTGTTCTGCTTTCATCATAATTAAAAATTTTTATTAATTTCTTTTTTTTTTTCATTAAACTATTTACACAGTCTTCACATTTTATTGGCTTTATTAGATAACTTGTTACGAAACCGCCAATATATACTATAATGTACTTGCTAGTGTCCAGTTTTATAATAGCCTTCACCCATCTTCGTTTTATGTCAACATTCCTTGGAAATATGTAAAAATTTAAATATTAGGTTTGAAAAATCGAAGCGTACTTAATTATTTTTTTTTTGTCACAAAATTCTGATTTTTCTTATCACATTTTGCCAACTCTCCTTTTCCAGGGTGCTGAACATGAATCTGAAATTAGTTTTGTTTGCGATTTTTTCAATTGAAAAAAATATTTAATTAATTTTCAGCTATCTCGAAATGACGGGAATTGGTAAAATTTCATAAAAATTTGAGACTCACATGAAGTAAATAATTACTAAAAATATTTTACAGTAATTCATTCATTATTTTATAATAACAATATCACGTTAATCACTACACTATGTGGGCGAACAAAATTATAAAGCTAACCCTGGAAACTTGTGACGTCAACCGAAAAATGGCGTACATATTTACCTTTTATATATTCCTTTTTTTTACTTACCTAAAGAAGGAAACTTTTCGCCTCTCTTCACCAACTCGATCACTTCTATTTATACAATGTTTTACAATACACTTGCCCATGATAAAACGTCTAATTATCGAAATCACAGCGATGCGTACACGTCAAATGCTAGGACACGACTGAGCGCTGGGCTCCAAATCAGGCATTAGATTTTATTAATTTGCGTCGTTTTTTTTGTCGGACAAGTATTGTTTTTTAATTATTATTTTATTCTAAAGCCAAAAATATAAAATTTATCACTTTTGTAATCGGAAAACCTAACCTGCGATGAGCGACATGTTTCGGTTGTCGGACTGGAAAAAAGCGCCTGAAAATTTGTCGGACAAGGTATGGACTACGTTTTTTAGGCAATTTTTAGTAAGTTAAAATGAAAATTGGGTGTTTTGTAATCGGAAAACCATACCGCGCTAGAGCGACATGTTGGAGATGTCGGACTCGACAATTGCGCCCTCTATTTTGTCGGACAACCCAATTTGCTTCTTATTTAACACATTTTCTTTTAATTCAAATAAAAAATTTGAGTGTTGTAATCACAAAAGAGAACCCGCCCAGAACGACAGGTTTAAGTACTCGCAGTGCGGAAAAGCGCCCTTCCCATATTCTAAAAATTTTACAGCGTGATAGACTCGTTAAAACGAAGCGATCCAGACCATTTTCATGACTTTTGGAATCAGTTCGAAAAAAGGTCGCTGGCTTGGGGACTAAAACGCTTCGTGTGTCAATGATGATGCCTCTCGGTGTCTCTGCAACTGGTTATAGTTCATCGATCAAAATAAAATATGTTTTTAAATGTCCATACACTGCATCTTGAAAACCAATGGTTTTAAATTCCTGGTTCATTGGTGTAAAATGACGCAAGAAACGGGTCTTCAAAAGTAGGGCGTCAACTTTTTTTATTTCATTATAATATTTCATATAATAATAGTCAAAAACAATAACAATTTTAAATAACACATGTTTCAAATTGGCAGCTTCAATTGGTTTTTTAATGGATTTTAATAAACATGTTTTTACACAATTTTTTATTTTAAAGAAGTTGTATAATTTCTCAATATGAACAAATTTCTGGTCTTATTTTTACCATCTTTTAGTAGATTGATTTTAGTTGAATTTTCGATTTTTTTTTGTTAACAGGCGTTTAAAGATAATTTAAAATGTCATAGAACTTTTGTTAGTTTTGCAAAATATTGTTTCAGTAAAATTTACACGCATTTATGCTTCGGAATAATTTTGGAGTGTTAATGTGTTTACCAATAGTTAGACTTAATTATTACTATTAGAATGTTTTCTGTAATTATTGTATTGAAGAAACTGTGACTGTTTAAAATTGTTTATTTGTAATTGTCTGAAGGTTTCCGTTTAATTCTGTAGACGCAAAATTGAAACAAATATAAAATGAAGGAAATTAATTGTGAAGGAGTGTGAATGTTAAAGGTTATGTTCTAAAATAAAAGCTTTTCCTATAGGTAAACGAAAAGTTGTAATACTTCTTTTGAAGCCCTTTTCGTCATAAAAAAATTTATAAAGGACACCAGTTTACAAAGTACTTTGTAGTAAATTTAATTACTGTTTTGGTTTTCTTCTTTCTTATTTCAGAAAGAGATTTGGCAGCAATTCATTTTTATACTAACGTATAACTTGAGTAATTGCCAAAATAATATACCTATTTCATTTTCTTTCCAATTTTCAGGTAAACTGAGAAAGTTGAAGCTTTATAACAATTTTAACAATATATCCTCTTAAAGGACATATTTTTAGTGAGTAATTGTTACAAAAATTCCATAAAAGCATATAATTTTAGACAAACTAACAACTATTTCAAATACGAATATTTGTATTTACACATGATGATAAACATATTTCATTAAATGTAAATGTTCCTTTACCATTGAGGAATTAAATATTTTTCCACATAACATATAATAATTCCAAAGAATTAATAATTAAGTTCACTTTAGAAATAGAACAGAATAATATTTTACTCTTTCAAATAAAACACAATAATACACGAGTTTTAAGGAATATTGAAAAAATAATATAAATTCTGTGACAACAAAAATAAATTACCTACAACA